AAATGACAGAGAATCTTCGTTAGCTCTGAAAAAGGGAACCGGGCGGGAACCTTGGGAGGGAATTCGTACGTCGCCGGAGATCGGCGCGTTTGATCATTACCGGACACGGATCCTTATCTCGCTATCTGGCCCGCTGGTGTTGTGCTACCTAACGACACGTTACACCGTTTCCCAGTTTGCCGAGTTCGGGTCCGGGTTCGAGCTCGAGCAGAACAAGCAGTTAGTTTAGCGCCGAAGACAGGAAGTCGGGCGAAGGCATCGAAAGAGATACGGCCGAAGGCCCCAGGGCGGCTCGGACACAAGGCTGCTGAATTGGGGTGTGCACTTAATTTTCAATGGTGACAAGTACCCCGCATCTGCCGAGGCCGGATACACCGAGGTACCTGGTTGATGTACCTGAAAACCGAACGGCGTAAATCATCGAACAATGCGACAGAACCTCTGTCACGCTTATCGAAAATTCGGCGAAAATACCTGGCCGCCAGTTTTTCCCTTCGCAGAGGCCAATCGTTTTTCGGCCCGTTCAAATCTTCTTCTACGATCGAACATTCTGGTGCAAGTTTTTTGTTACTTGCAATTAGTAGCAGGTCGAAACGGTCTAGAGATTTTCATTCGTCCTCGATCGTATCGATGTCGGCAAATATTTTTATATATTAACCACGTTCTATGTCATTTTTGTTGTAAGCGAACGTTCTTTTCTCGTTGACTTTTCACTCACCTCGTCTAATTTGCACTCGAGACTTTTTAATCTTTTTTATTCCTTTTTAACCCTTTGCGCTCGAGACTATTTTAACGCGAGAATGAAGATGTTTGTTTTAACCTACAGTATTTCCATTTGGTATGATTGCTTTTATATTTGATATACATATGAAATAGAATTTAAATATAAATAATATAAGTTATTACTTCTATATTATTATATAAGTTACTACTTCTATTATTATATAAGTTATTACTTCTATTATTATATAAGTTACTACTTCTATTATTATATAAGTTATTACTTCTATTATTATATAAGTTACTACTTCTATTATTATATAAGTTATTACTTCTATTATTTGACAATATATCAAAATTTTAATAATGTGGAAATTCTTGTAGAAATAGTGTAGCAATTTTTAGCATCGCCTTGGAGTCGCCGCTCGAGTGCAAAGGGTTAACACCAGATTTACGGAACCCGTCAAAATGACGGGTCACCAATTTTTTATGATTATTATTAATTACAATATTATATTATTATATTATTAATTTATATTATTAATATAATATTAATATATATAATATTAATAATATTAATATAATATTACTATAATATTACTATAATATTATATTATAATATTATAATATTATATTATTAATTTCACGATTATTCATATCGTAAAAATACATTTATGAGTTATTTATTCAATTTATATGTTACTTGCGACAAAGGTTGCAATAACACTTGTTAAAAATCATAATAAACGTCATATTGTTACTATTATAAACTAATATAAAACAGCTGTTTTTTATACTCCGTGAATCTAGTATTAATCGTATTTTCTTCGAAACAAATATGAAAGTTTCGTTCTTTTCCGAAATCTGTTCATTATCGAATCAATTAACATTCGCGAAATATACGAAGCTTTTCTTCCCTCGTTCTCGATAATACTCGAACTTCGATCTCATTCAATTCGGATCAACGAAGGTCAGCGGTAAAAGTTACAACTATCTGGCAATTGCGAAACTTTTAGCAACATTCCTACGAAATTCCTGTTCGTCCGATAGCAAGTGTGGCTTAACGATTGCTAATTAAACGAAGTATTTCATCGACGACTCCATCTAATCGATTCTGAACAATTTAGTGTTATCTGTATTTACTGAAACGATTGGCGGATCAGCAGGCTCGAAATTTGGTTCGCGCGAGGAGCTCGGGAAGTTGTTAGACGGCGCGCGTATCGTTGCTATCTGGAGCGACGGTTATCGTATTTCTTGTGCATAAGCGGAATCCACGAGTTGGCGGTCGCGCGTTAGAAAAATTGCGAAATGCGTTTGTTGGGAATAGGTTGTGCGCGACCTGTGGACAGACAATCCGGCGTGAACCTATGCGATATGCCCGCGGTCGCTCGCGCAATCTGATTCTCCATCACTGGCAACGCGACGCGACGCGACTCGACGCGAATCGCCGACTGCATTTACTGCATTGTGGGGGGCGATCTGCAGGCCGCGTACGCGCCGCGCTCAAAATCCAGCGGTTCGATTGATAATTAATTATCGCGGCGCTGGGTCGACGATCGTTCTCGCTCGTCGATCACGTTTTGTCAGTGGCTCGTCCTCGCCCGCGCGAGATCAGCCGCGGCTCTCGTACAGCGTTCTTCCATTTTTCAGACTTTCTTCTCAAAGTTCCGCCGATTATGTCCCATGTTTAACGACGCGACGCGATTCATTCCAGCATTGACCCTAAAAAGTGGAGTTCCTGTTTTCACGTGCGTGTGTGTTCGATCATTGTGTGGTTCGATTATTCGTAGAAGGTAAACTCGATATTTTCGAACGCGTAGTGCGCGATAAATATTCGCGGAGAATCCGTGAAAGAATGTTGCGTGTGTCTAACTCGAATCGAATAGATTTCGGCAGGAAATATATTTCGTCGGAAATATATTCTGTCCCCTTCGAACACAATGAATACGCGAATGCCAATGTTTCTCTGCCTAGAAGAGCGGCTTCGCATTTTTGCTGGAGAATGAAACTGTTCAGTTGATCCCTGGACAAAGGTACGAAATCAATTTAGGAACGATCGAGTTGTCCGAGTTGTTCGAAAAGAGTTTCCAAGATCGTTTCGAGCAGCTTCGAGTTCCGCCTGTCCGTGTTCACTCCCCCTTTCGCTGCTATCCGCGAACAGATTCGCTTCAACATTTTTACCGAGACACGGTAGATTCTCTCCAATTGTCCCTCTGCTAAGCTTCTAAACAAAAATGGACGGCTCGTTTTTATACGATTATTTTTCGTTGGCAATCGGCGACTATAACGAGTCGGAGGCTCGAATGATCGTATTTTCCTCTTCCCAAAATTGTTCATTTTTGTTTACAAGGGAGACAATAGAGAGACAATTGGAGAGAATTCACTGTACAGTAATTTCTGTCTAACCCTTACGAGACCATAAGGTTGCTAAAAGTAAATACTAGCATGTAACTGTTTATTTTAGTTTGTTTAGACATAAAGTAAATAAAAATCATAAGAAAAATACATGACAATGTGTAGTTTTCTTGGACTTTTCTGAAAAATATTTTTCCGAACGGACTATAAAGGTGGCACAGATTATGGTTAGGCTCATTATGCAATATCTTGTATTTGTTGGTTTATTATAATAGAACGTTAACAGAAATAATACGAAATTATGAAATAAACTTACCGTACAAAATGATGTGCTAATTATGATATTCTGCGAAGCAATTTCTTTTGGTTGCGAAGCAATGATTGCACGTAGCAAATGTAATATATGTAATTGCACATAGTACATATATATTATGCGTCATATTTTCTACGCGGCGTTTAGCACAATTTGCACGTCTTTTTAACTCTGTCGCTTTTTGCATGTTGCGCGCTGGAAAATTGCGTTTTGTCCCAGAAACAACCAATAATTGAATACGACGATCACCAATTTCAAAATGAGGAAAAATGTTTCTCTTGAGGGGCTAATTCGCGCACAGATTGCGCGCAAAAATGGACAATTTCGGAAGAGAAATAACGATTATTCAAGTCGATTATTATATATATCATTATTATTAAAGATATATTATAATTTATTATAATACATTATAATATAATATAATAATATAATTTATATAATATTATTATAAATTATTTTATTTTATTAATATTATTATAATTATGATAATAATAATATAGTAATATTTATATTATAATACAATATAATAATATAATTCAAGTCGATTATATATATATATCATATTATTATTAAAGATATATTATAATTTATTATGATACATTATAATTATTATCGATTATAATATATATCATAACGATTATTGCGTCTCGTTTCTATAATCACCGATTGTCGACAACTACAAAAACGTGCCGCCAAGGCTCGAATGCTCGTATCTGCTCTCCCCCGGAATCGTCCATTTTCGTTCCGTCCGATCGTGTCCAATCCGTGCGCGCGAATTAGGAAGAAATCGCTGTGTATATCGAAATAATCGTGCCGTTGACTCGCCGAAGAAAACAAACCTCGACTGGTTGCGATTCGCGATTGCGTAACGTTCGACGCGTCATCCTCGGAACGGCCGGGCGAATACGGTGAACGAGACAAGTCTATAGGTGTGCGCCGTAATTTATATCGCGAGATCGTCATCCTCGCCGCACGATACGAAATAATAAACATCGACGCAACCAAAAAAAAGAAAGAAAAGAAAAAAATAATAACAAAAATTCCAGAACGCGGAGCGTTCGAAGCCCGACGACGGAACGTGCGAAACAATCCGCGAACGGAATAATCCCTACGCTCTCGGAACGAACGAAATAAAAAAAAAAAGAAGAATAATACCTGTAGATATCTCGCTGGCCCTTCGAAAGTGGCCGGCCACTTTGCGAAGCGTCGCGAATCGGCTGGAGCCAGCCAGCCACCGATCGTAAACTGTGCGCGTTTCGTTCCTGATTTCTCGGTGCCCGTTTCCCGGTGTCGCCCGTTTACCTTCGTAGCACGGTATCGGTAGGGTTAGCAAGGGTGCGCTCCCGTGGCGAGAGCATGGGGATGGTGGGACGTGGGCCGGTTGCGTGGAGGAAGAGCAAGACAGGCGCTTGAAAAAGGGGTAACAGCTAGAAAGAAGCGAAAGGGGAGTAGAGCGGGAGAAATATAAAGCCTCTGGAGGGGCAACCTCGTGTGCGAGGCGAGGCGAGGCGAGTGGAGGGGTGGCTGGCGAGAGGGGTGGGGGTAGGGTCTAGGCAAGCAACGGCGGCAACGGCAACGGCAACGGCGACGGCAGGCGGCGGCAGGCGCAGGCAGCAGGGCAGCGGCCAGGTAAGCGAGCAGAGAGCAGCGAGCAGAGAGCGAGGCAATAGTGGGACCGCACTCGCACGCCTCCGAACTCCGAGAGCCGAGTCCCGAGCGCCCGGAGTCTCGCAACCAGCGGTTGTATATCGTAGCACTGCGCGTGGTACGGTCGTGTTGTTATGCCGCTGCTGCAGTCGCCGCTCCGTTTCCGCCGTCGCGCTCGTGCAGTGACACCGACACCGACACCGTCGACATCGACGTCGACGTAGACAGCGACGCCGCGACTATTTCGTCGCTCGTAAATCCTCGGGTCTCTCCAAGAAAGAGATCCTCGCACCCCTCTAGTGTGTTGCCCGTTTTTCCGGTTGTTCGTGAATCGAGGAAAGAAGTGCGTGCCGCAGGTTGCTCGGAGGGTGTCAATTTTGAAAAGCTCGGCCAGAGAGACCGCGAGAGTTCGAGGGATCGAGAGGAAGGCTGATAGAGAGCGGGAGAGTGGTTTTCTCGTTCGATTCAGCCCCCCCTTGACACGGCAGTTTGGATGAGCGCCAACGATCCCCGGCGACGTCACCTCGTCACGACGATTCTGGCGCGCGTCCAAGAGCGCACAGTGGTTACCTGCGCTGCCCCCATGCCCACGTTCTCGTCCCCGCGATCGTCATCGTCGTCATCGTCGTCCTCGTCGTCGATACCGTCGCGCGCGAGCACAGAGCTCTGCCGGGGGTGAACCGGAAGCGCCCGATGCGAGCAACCAGACCGCTCCGTCGCGTGCTCCAGCGACCGATTTCGCGAACGAACTCGCGGCCGATCCTACGACCGATCCTCCGATCGAGCCGATCCACCGGCACCGGAAGCGGCGGTGCCCGCGGCGACCGCGATCAAGTGCGCGAATCGATCCACGATCCACGAACGACAACTCGTTACGTTTCAGTTCCCGTTCCCGTTTCCGTTTCAGTTTCGGTATCGGTTTCGGTTACAGTGAACGACCGCTCGGCGTTCGACGCAGTGCTGGCGGCAAGGATATGTGACGTGTAAACGATACATCGTTGCCGATCGATCGATCGATCGAAGGAAACATTGTTCTTTCGTGTAACAGTGCGCGGAGAAATTAGTGAGGCCGCGTCGTGACAGGGAGGCAATCGGTATACTGTGTGCACGCGAGAGAGAGAGAGAGAATTACCGGTCATCGATAAGGCACACACGATTCGGAAGAAAGGAGTCCCCCGCCTGGATGCAAGGATTTTGAAAGTAGCTCCAGAAGGCCAGCCCGACGCAATGCGTCGACGCTGCTGACGCAACGCGCCTGGATGCGTCTCACTTTAAGCACGTGAGTGTTGTTGTTTTTGATTTTCGATCGACGCGCGCGACGCGACGGGCGCCGCTGAAACAGTGGGTATCGTCGCTCGTTTCAGATTTGTCCTCCCTTTCGAGCGATCCGACGGGGTTGCGTTTCAAGGGTCGTTGTTCTATCGGAGAGAACGAAGATGATTCGGAGGGGTAGACGGCCGATCTCGGCTTCTCCGCCACGATATTCCGACACCTGAGCGATCGTTTGCTCGTGGCTCGTGGGCTCGTCACACCGGGACTCGGGACTCGTGGCTGGCGGCTCGTGTGGCTCGTGCCCCACACGTGCTTCTCCGATTTCGATTTCGATTCCGAAACGAATCGTTTCAGAGTCGATCGGCTCGCGCTCTGTGCTCTCGGCCGACGATAGTGTCGTCGCAGGTGTTGTTCATGTTGTTGTTGTTCTTGTTGCTGTTGTTGTTGTTGTCGGCGGTGGTGGTGGCGGTGGTGGTGGTGGTAGTGGTTAGTGGTCGCGAGTGCGCCCCCTACGACCGCTGTTGGTGAATGATCCTGACTCCTGTCTCCCGACTCCGGACCGACCAAGGTTTTCGTACACGAATACTGGGATGACGCCCGCTTCGGATTACGCGCTCCTTTTACGATCTTGTCCATCCACGTCCACGTCGCCGAACGCGGAACCAAATGTAAGTGTCCTAGCATGCGCAACAACCGCGGGCCAATCGAAGTACACGCGTACTTGGTGCCGCTGGAGACTCTTCTTCCCTATTGTTGTTCCCGCGACGACGCGATTAAGCCGCGTTAACGCGCGTTTTCGTCGGCTCTCCCGAGAACCATGGAAACGCGGCCGACGCTGGCGAAACTCTTGAAGAAGGCGACTCGCGTGGCCGATCTGACGAATCGAACTCTCTTTTTCGTTTTCTCATGAACTGTGGGACACGTTCGAAACCTATACAGTAATGTCTCTCTAATCGACGCTCGGATTGGCCAGAAAAATGGACCATTTAAGAAGAGGAGATGCGATTATTCGAGCCTTGCGTTTTCATAGTTACGAAATATATGTCAAGAAATATAAAAACGAGCTGCGATGCTCGAATAATCGTATCTCCTGATTTCCATATTGTCCATTTTTGCGCGCAAACTGAGCGTCGGTTAAGGAGACATTACTGTATATCGAAGGGAAATCATGCGATCGTTTTTGATTCGCGATCGTGTAACGAGCTTCGTCGAACGCGCGCGTAATAAGACGTTCTATTGAAAATTAGTCGACAATTGGTCGAAGCAAAATTGTTGACGAATAAGATCGTGTTTCAAGGTTCTCTTGAAAATTTTGATTAAAATTTCTCGCGGCCAGGCATTTCGCGCGTTCGAATTCCGTCGAGTTCGCTTCGGGAGCATCGGGCTAAGATCCGGAAGAAAAATCCAAGAAAATGCGAACAGGCAGAAATCTAGTCGATGCGTTCGACTAGAATAGAATACCCCCGTTAACGGAAGAGAGGGAAGAGAGGGAAAAAATCACGTTCGCGACGTCCGAGAGAAAAGCGAGCCGAGTTGCGTTATGCTTGGCTAACGGTATAATACTATGCCCAATACCGAGGCTGGCAGGGGTGAAGCGTTAGGCAGATACGTTCTCAACAAAGTGCGCGAAAGAAACGTTTTAATGCGATATTAATGTTTGTTGGCACACAGCACACGCGTGCGCTCGCGGGCTCGTGCGCCGATGCGCCGGTGCGCTCGTGCGCCGAGGAAATCACGTTATGTAAAACAGGAATTCGCGGCGCTGTATTCGACGTTTTATGAGCGATTCGTGCTTCGTGCTTCTTGGAAGCGTTCTGCGGACCGATTCAATGAAACTTGCTGATAGCATGATCGTCGTGCACGGTCTCGCAATACTTCGGCCGTGGCTGAATGCTGTTTTGACCCCGGTTTGAAAAATGATGGGACGCGCGCGCGAGGTAGATTTCACGGTGCTGTAAACGACACAATGCGAGTTCTCCTCCGGTTCATTCTTCGAGTTTTCGCTCGGTGCCGTTACGCTTTTCTCACGTTATCATCGTTCTGTAGCATTCTGTGAATCGTAGACGAGCGAGTTTCCATGATTTTGCAGTCGGCGGATTTCGCATCCAGGATTTCCTAACGAACACGCCACAAGTGAAATATTGGAACGCGTCGGTACTCGACATCTTCCGAGATGTTCTTAACGATCTATAGTCCCGTGAAGATCGGATGATCAATCGTGACCTAGATACGGTTTGCAACGCGGGACGGTGAACGCGCAAAAATCCGTGGACTTCCGAATTTCTTTCGAAGTTGGATTCATTGCGAAGAATGTTAAAGAATGTTGTTGGCTCGTCGGGTGACAGAGCGAGCTGTCGATCATCATCGGCGGCAGCGCGGTTTATTTTTCGAGTACGTGTCTCTCTAATTGACGCTCAGATTGTCCACAAAAATGGACAATTTGGGAAAAGAAAAGATACGATCGTTCGATCCTTGCGGTTCATTTTTATAGTTTCAAATTGTCAAGAACTATAAGAACGAGCTGCGAGGCTCGAATAATCGTGTCTTCTGTTCCCAAATTGTACGTTGAGTGACAATTGGAGAGAATTTACTGTACCTTGAATTTGTCTAAAGTCGATTTTCCAGTGAAATATTTTTCGCAAATTTTATAATTTATTATTAATATTTTTTTCCCGGATTTGCTTCATTCTTTCGACAGCCTAACAATAGGAAATTCCGATAGATTTATTCGTTTGCACTCGAAACTATTTTAATTATATTTTAAACATATTTTCTGATCTAGTTTTTAAAATTATCCGAATTAAAGAAATTCATCAAATTGTATAGATATTTATACAGTAAATTCTCCGCAATTGACGCTCAGATTGTACACAAAACCGGACAATTTGGGAACAGGAGATACATTAATATCTCCTTAAATGACGCTCAGATTGTGCACAAAAATAGATAATTTGGGAAGAGGAGATACGATTATTCGAGCCTTGCGGCTCGTTTTTATAATTCTTAACAATTCGTAACTATAAAATAAAATACAAACCGCAAGGCTCGAATAATCGTATCTCCTCTTCCCAAATTTTCCATTTTTATGGATAATCTGGGCGTCAATTAGAGAGACATTACTGTATCCCAAAATTATGGTACTTCCGAGAAGTGAAGGATTCCCGAGGTTAAATTCTCCCAAATTGACGCTCAGATTGTACACAAAACCGGACAATTTGGGAACAGGAGATACATTAATATCTCCTTAAATGACGCTCAGATTGTGCACAAAAATAGATAATTTGGGATTATTCGAGCCTTGCGGCTCGTTTTTATAATTGTTAACAATTCGTAACTGTAAAATAAAATACAAACCGCAAGGCTCGAATAATCGTATCTCCTCTTCCCAAATTGTCCATTTTCGTGTACAATCTGGGCGTCAATTAGAGAGCCATTACTGTAGATCCCACGAATAAGTCGCTACAAATAACTCGATTTCGCGAGCACCGTCGATTCGCGATTTCTCGAGATCGACGTGTAACAGCTCGGTCTATCGAGCGTGTTCGCACGAAGATGGCCGAGCATGGATTTATGTTTCACGTGTCCGACGGACACCAAGAGTTCGTCCACGGATGCGAACGGTCGCCGCGGCGCGTCGAGCCGCGCCGATAGGATTCCGTCACTTTGGTGGTTATCGAAAGCGATGGATTGTCAGTTGGAAAATCAAACGATACGTCGCCGATAAGCCGACATATTTTAGATAAGTGAAACGCGCAATTAAAATGCTTTCTGGATGAGCCCCGTTCGATTAAGCAACGATCGTTCTCTCGATCTGCCCGTCTCGCTCCCACGCTCTCGTCCCTCTGTTCTACTTTCGTCGCGGCACCGCACCGCCTCGTTTTATCGTCCCGTCCTCTCTCTGGCTCTCTTCCTCTTCTCTCCCGTTCCCTTAAAACTTAAACGCTGAGACGCTTTAACGACGTTCCGATCGATCAATCGGTGCAGCGCCTCTATTTTCCCGATCGCCGCGATCCAAACGATCGAGTTTCTTTCTCGTCGTCGGGCCTCCCGCGGATTCACATTTCGAAGCGTTGCAGAAAAATTTCAGGTGGACTTTTGCCTTTTTTCGGCGCACGTAGTCTGGCCGAGCTACAGTTACAACGATGAAATCTTATAATCCTCGATGAAATCTTGCAATCTTATCCATCAGAGATCTTTGTTATAATAAAGCTACCACCTGCTCGTGAATAATAAATGAAATGAAATTGGTAGCTACTTTTCGACATCGAATCGACATCAAGTTATCGCAAAAGTTGCTCTGCTTTTCATTCCATTGTTTCCTGACAGCGCTCCCTGATTTGTCAAACTCAAGTTACCAACGTTGAACATGATTTTCATGCTACATTTCAAATAACGAAGAAATGCTCCAAACGATTGTCGATACAAAATTGTTCTTGCAATTTGTTGATTCAACTTGCTCTACAAGTGTATAATAAACGACAGTTGATATTTATCTCCAAAAATATGATTTTTATTTAGTTTTTATTCATAGAGGTTATCACATCGAAAAATGGATTCGATTGTATTTCGCTTTCTGAAGCGAACGATAATTCCCTATAAACGGGAAACATAGAAGCGCGTTTTCTCGCGATGAACTTAGCGGTTTCTTCAGAAATTCGTGCGAATCGACTCGCGAATCAAATAGATCATTCTCTGCCGTTGATCGCAATGATAACGCGACGAGGTATCTCCAGCGAAGGTTCCGCGGATTTCGCTACATTTTCTAGCGACATGTGCTCAAATATTATTTTTATACATACCGAACACGCGTACAGATAACGCAATCAGTGTCCACCTCTTCCACCGCTATCACCGCGGACAATCGCGCGTTCGCGACGAATTGTTCTCTTCGGTTTTCAGTTTTCAGTTTTCAGCCATTTTTTCGACGAATTTCCACGATTAAACCGCAGAGAATCGAAGACTTTTCCGAAGCAGAAAATCGTGCGTGATCGGACCGACGATCAGCCG